TTTCGAAGAACAGAAATAATGATTTCAATATTGAATATCGAACGTCAATGACTAATATTATTAGAAGCCTGTCAACTATCCGCATCTGTCTGATTAGATACTCAAGACTCAGTAAGAGACACGGATGGCAGCAGTGAGACGTGCCTGAGCCGAATGTCTCGGCAGAAGACTGTCAAGTTAGGTTTGTTTCTGCTCCAAAACCTCCGTGATATGGTAAGGTTCAATTTTCAACAACGATTCGAGACATGTGTTCGTATCTTATGGCTTGAGATGATTGGAGATGCTTACCTGTCCAGGCCTGACAATAGGGTCGAGCCGAGTGTTAACAACGGCCCGAGTCCCACCCATGATGAAGTGCCTTGCATGGGCTGCCGGAAGGGCTGCGAGGGCTGCAGGCAACCCAAGAGAAGCGTGAGTATGAAACCATTTCAGAGGTTGGTTTAAAGAGAGAGACGATAGGTGGGATTAGAGAAAGACAGTGGTTAGCCTGGAATGAAACCCAGCAAAACGGAGGAAGAGAAAGCTCGAGGAGGGGGACAAACTACCACCGAGACTGAAGTGAAGGGACAAGACACGAGTCTGAGGAGGAAGTTTTGTTGACTTCGCCCCATTGATGAACATAAGCTTTATATACTCCACACCTTCGTGCTGTAATCTCAAAGACGCCTCCGCTTAACTCCCGGGGAACATTTGGTCCAGAACCTTAATGCGCGTGTACCTTTCAGACGTCGGCGCCCATCTAGGAAGGAGCAGGTCCATGTTTATCTACAACGCCGGCCGGTTTGATTCCAACCTTCATGTTTCTGTGAGCTTTTGCAAGTAATCATCCTCGTTGCAAGGGGTCCCTAACCATCATGATAGTCCATGATATTAGACACAACATGACCAGGCCCAATTTCAGATGCACGATAGGAGCGTGGGCAGGTGAGTTCGGACAGGATCAGCGTGTTGGGATGCACAGGTGGATGGACAGGATGCGAACGAAGATGAACGCTGAATGAACGGCAGACATACGGCTGGATAACGTCCCATTAAGTGCGCCTTTCCCATGCTGCTGCAGCGAGAATGGAAGATCGAACATACCTCTTCGGATTCTCGTGTCGCGACTGTGTTATCCGAAGCCGTATGGCCTTGTCGTCTATGAAATTTTATATCTTTCTCACCGCGTCTCCATTGGTACCTCTTCGAACGCGATGTCGTTGGGTGTGACGTATGGATTCAGATACTCGGAGCCGATGTACTGTTGGCATTTCTTTCTATTTCGAGTAAGTTCGAGTCGCATCCTTCTCGAACTGATACATTGTGAACGTATGAAGCAGACGAGTATTGATTTAATATAGGAAACTCTTGGACTCGGAAACTCTCGAAGCGATGATCACGATCAGGAACCATTACCATGGTGACCTTCCTTCGGTGCCTTGTTTCGGTACGTAACAAAGTTCACAAATCTTAAACTTGAAGCTGGACCCTCGATTACAATAACAATGCCTTTCTCTGTCAAGTTGAAGATTTACTGCCGGTCTTCTATGAATAGCTCTTGGGACGCAACTTCCACGGTAATGAACAAGACAATGGCCTTCTTGGCCTTTCTGTCGAATCCCAAGATAATTTATTCGAAAATCTACGAGCGGCACACCATCACATAATCATGTAACTCCGTGTTGCTCAGGGTTCGCAATGTCGAGATGTTTCTGATTGCCTTACCCTGAACGGCGCGCGGTTGTCATGGTGCTTGACGATGTCTTGCAAAACTCGACAAATAGCTCAACTCCTTCTGGAACTAGAACATACCAATGGGCTTGTTCGAGATGTTGACAGTTGTGACAGAAAGCCAAGTAAGTACGACATCGGGCGCGGAAATCTATTATAAACTGGTGTTCATCCTTCTGACGGCAACCGGCGATCTTTCCTTGGTTGTGACTGAACCCTGTCCTGATAATCGTATAGATACCAGCAGATCGTCAACATCAATTGAATGTAGTATCTATATATCTGCCACGTTCATTTTCGTGCCCTCGTTAGAGTTTGCTACCGGTAGTAAATGATCGATGATCCGCCGTCATTCCTTCCGGCGCATAACACTCAAGCATGTTAGAGGTCAACATCTTGGTCAGGTCCACATCATGATCAGGCAATCAAGATCCCAAACTTCACTGCGACGATGAGATCGGAGGTTAGAGGGCCCGGATTTATTTGTCGAGCATGTTTGAGCATACCGATCTCACTCGGGCAGGCGTAGGCAAGATGCAGAAAGGGGGAGAGTGTCACAGTTATAGAGGGCGGATTATTGTCAAGAGTAGTCACCTCTCAATCTGCTCAATGACTCACATTTTAAGTTACTAGAGAAAGGTTTGTTGTGCTAAATATACATGCGTAACCGTAGATATGTCCGTTTCGTCTCCACCGACTCCGACCATGAAATACAAAATTTGTGGGAATAGAAGCAGTGTACAGATGGGGGTAAGGAACATGTTGATAATACATTGTCAAGTTGTCGTTAATCAGATATAGTTCAATGCAGAAAACGATCATGTCACAGAGATGCCTACAATCTGTACACTTTCATAAGGGTGATTCTCAACGCGATGAACGCGGATACACTATGAATAAATTGGTACCTGAATCAGCTTCTCAAGGCTACGGCAGAGGGAATGTTCAGACATACCTTCGGACCATCGGTGGTCTCGACCAAGTAGCAACGGGATTGTCTCGTCGATTGAAGATGGCTAGGCAAGGAGGTTCGTCGATAGGGTAGAGAAGTGGTAACCTCTCCAGAAAATATGCAAGGAGTTAATAACGACGGTTCCTGGATATCAACACCCCCAACATCTGTCCCAACAGGATCGCTTAGTCGCCGAGGACAGAAGTCGAATATCTCATTGTGGAAGCTGACGCGGTAGCCGCTTATCACTGATTGAGTGCTGGGCGAGTATATCTCCAAGATACGAGAGTTGTGTGGACCCCATACGTCCCAAGGTACAGTGCCAACCCCTCCGTCCAGTAAGGTCTCAGACGATCCTTCAGGATAGTGTCCAAAAAATGCCGAATGTCGAATGATCATAATGTAATCCGGGAAATGAATTTCGAAAAGGCGAGGCGATGGCTGGCACTTCGAGGACGTTGAAGACATTCCTCCCTTGTCGTGTATCCATATGTGTGCTTGATGGATCCGACTAGTAATCATGTCGATAGAGTACAGAGTCGGGAGCATGAATCGTCCCGTGAGTGTACAACGCCATTGACTATCCGGGTCGCATTGGATGGAATATAGGTCGAGAGACATGGTAGGGCTCGGTGTAACGAGGTTAATCGTGGGTACAAGTATAGCGTCTTTAGAGAGGAGTGTCCCTCCAAAAACAAACGTTTCATCCCGGACACAGGCCCACGTCTATGTAGGGTTCAGTGACCTTCCACCACGAAATAAATCGGTAAAATACCTTGATGAGCTGACCGGTCGGCCAATGATAAAGGTGAGTTCCCCACCCCGTTCGCATTGTCGACTCTGCGAAATATGTCAAGTCATAGACGATTAGGAATTCGCCCGACACATTTAATTCAAGACTAATGTGTTGTCTAGACGGTATGCGCAAGCGAGGCTGTTTCGCCCGCGGATGAGGCCGTCCATCGTTTAGAGATCGGAATTCTAACTCGAGAGAATAAAAGTCAGGATGGATGCTGTACGGCGAGGGCAGCGTTAGAATATGACAAACAAAAGCGGAATGGAGAATACGTACAAGTTTACGAGAGCACCGTCAGGTATGTGTGAAATCACTCGCTCTAACACGAGAAGTTCCTCATGCGGGAACGCATGTGCACGGATAAAGGGACGGTCAACATCAAGCGTCCGTGGTGTGAGCTGTTTCGTTCGTACGACTTCGTCGAGATCGAAACGTAGTAGGAAACGGTCGGTCGGAGTTGTCCGTCTGCAGATGATACTTCGCACGCTATTGGAAGGTGTAACGAGTAAAATGCCTTCGTGGACCGTGCAGTTTTGAAACTGCCATAAATGTGTGAAGTTAGTTGGGATAGTGAGGGAGAAGCATGAGTCGTGGATATTATTCCATCGCTGTTGTATATGCGAGATAGTTTGTAGTCGTGTTGAAGCATCACCATCCCGAGAGGAAGCGTCTTCGTAGCCATTCGTCCAGAGTTCAACATCGTATTGGAGCTCCTTGGTTTCCCTAATGAGGGAATCAAATGCAAAGGAAGTCTATCCGAATCGGTCAGTATACCATTCGGCATAATCAAATGCGGAAATCAAGGCTTCTCACTCACTAGACGACATCTGAGTAGGTCTTCGGTTTCCAAGCATAGGAGAACCTTCAAAATAAGCTCCAGGGGTAGGATTGGTTGTGCTACAAACCATAATTATGGCGCACATAGCGTAGTCAAAGATACAACTTACGCATACTAGTAGCTCCTATTGGCTGTGGTTTCGAACCAGTCGTTTACTTACGACCTGTACCTCTAACTCGGTGTTTGTGAGAGACGCTACGAAATAGGGGATGTCGTACGACTACACGATGGTTGGCTCCTACGAGCGGAACATGGGATACATCCTTCCTCTAATAGCCCCCCTCGCATTTATGTCATAGCTACAGCTTGGAAGTACTGAACTGGTAAGCACTGATCACGGGTACTGACACAGGAATTCCTCAGCACCTGGTTGGTCACACGGGCCCCACTGTTTTGAACCTGTGGTCACGGACCAATAGAGACCAATAGAGTTTCCATAAATAATCGTCTCTAGTGAAGGAGCTTTTATTGAGTCCGCCAATCAGAAGATAACGTCGAGTACAACTTTGAAATTGGGTAATAGTGTGGATGGAAAAGACGAGTAAACAGCAAACATCGATGTTCTCATAGCGTGGCTCATGCCATGTACATAGGGAGTCATTAGAGTCAGAATAAGATCCGGGAAGGTATACTTGTAAAACAGTAAGAATGTTCTGAGGCGTACTCACTGGCATCGCAGACAGCAAGAATGGCAAAACATCACCAGACCCTGCCGAGATTTGAACCCGGGACCCCACGATTTGCAATCGTATGCTCTAACCACTGAGCTACAGAGTCATTAAAACAGGCTCGGCCTATATGCCCCGAGACTCACTAGAATTAAATGTTGGTATGTTCAATTCACTAATTTACCAATTCTTCCGTGAACGGGAAGCCTGACGAGTTATTTCTTCTACAAGAATCTTTCTGAAGCTGTAGTGACTTTGTTTGGACTCCGTTGGTAATGAGATTTATTTACACTTCGTTGTAATGGGATCGAATACACATCTAAGTACGGTTCTACACAAATCACTCCCAGTTGTCGAAACCGAGGTCAACTCCCCAAGGAGGCATGATGAACCTGTGAAACATAGTAACATCAGCATTATTCTAACCTGATACCAATACTAGTCTTACCGTTTCTGTTTACCACCTGCAGCGACACCGTCCAACAACTTGATATCCTCAGGTGTCAGCTTCTCAGCAGCAGTGACGGTGTCTTTGAGGTTGGACAGAATACGAGTGGGAGTGACCGACTTCGGTAGCGCGACGATCCCTTTGGCGACTGTTTCACGCGAGTATGATGCATAAGCCGTTATTTCACAAGGAAAAAACAGAAGTCAGACACACCGAGGTACCCGAGCAGAATTCCGACAACAGGGACATCATACTTCTTTGCGATTGCAGCAGCGGTTTCGTCAGACAAAAGAGGAGAGCCAGTGCTACCGAGAGGAGAGTAAGCCTGAGGTAGAATGCCCTTGGACTTGAGGTATTCGGCAAGACCATGTTGAGGGTTGTATAGGTGGAATTCGAGCTACGACGAGAAATGTTGGTATTAACATCATAGGATTGAAATTATGTGGTTATGCTTACTTGGTCGACTGCTGGGATGACTTTAGCCGTGGGAAGAATCTCTTCAAGCTTCTTCTGTGAGAAGTTGGAGACACCAATTGCTTTGGCCTTGCCTGGGATTTAAGGACGAGAGAATGTGAGCATCTCCAGTATTACCTGCGGCTTAAGCGAAGGTGAACGAAACCGACCTTTGGCGTAAACAGCCTCCATCTGCTCCCAGGTCTTACTCAATGGCCAGTCGGTGACAATATCACGACTTCCATCGGGACGTGTGGGGAAGGCAGGATGGTTACCGTCCGGGTTAAGGTGAACGGGCCAGTGGACGAGGTACACTATACATCACCGGGACTTTAATAAATGATTCCGTTATGTAGTACGTTAGAAGATGAAACATACGATCGAGGTATTCAAGTCCAAGTTTCTTGAGAGACTCGTCGAGAGCTTCCTCGACTTTACTGTGGTGGGTTGACCAGAGTTTACTGGTGACGAAGAGTTGGTCTCGGGGAACTCCTGATCGACGAATACCTTCGCCTACAGCTTCTTCATTACCGTATCCCCTATTCCAAGATTAATATATTCAATACGACCTCGCTTAACCGAGATCGACGAAATACTATGACGTACCAGGCACAGTCGATATGTCTATAACCTGCTTCTTTGATCGCATACTCGACGGCAGCGGTGACTTCTTCAGCAGTAGACTTCCAGGTTCCTTTTGTCATACCAGAATTAGTACAGTCAATATTACACAGATAATATATTGAACTCGCCATATCCAACAGCTGGGATCTTGGCACCAGTGTTCAACGTGAAGACGGGGGAAGACATGATAGTGGTTTAGGATAATAACTGGGTGGGATTCTGAGCACGCCAGAATTCGTTCTGTAGAGCTTTTATACTGCTCGTTACCCCAGATATGAGTGGGGACGGTCCGGAACTCCATGACATCGATGATCATGGATCACCGTATGGAATTTCATTCTGAGAATTTGCTCAGTAACATACATAGCATAGTGGTTTAAAAGAACTTGCTTACATTATAGATAGTAGATAATACACGTCTAGCACCATGCTTCGAATGTGTCCTTTATCTTGTGTATTTTTTAGTACTAGAAACTTGGTGGAGTATTGGACTACTAAAGTCACCCCAGCCTGGAGCCATGGGCTTTACAGCGGAAAGGCGGTCGGCCCGGGCGGGCCACAACGTTCGCGAGAATATTGCTTCCAAAGAAAGATTTGTTGTAGTTTCTTGTATTTTGTCGCAAGCTACAACAAGTTAAAATTAGCTTTACGTAGTAATTATAAATATATAAGTAGTATTAGTAAGTTTGGTATTTACCCGCTATGAAGCTATAAAATGAGCGCTCAGAAACCGACATGTTGTATTCCGAGTCCTTGAACTTGGATCAGGAATGCATCGGAATTTGGAAAACAGCATCTCAACATTGAAACATTGGGTAAAGGTATGTCATATGTGAGATGTATGCAAATCATTTGGCCACGTTTTGTAGTAACACATTCGTATTTGGTTTTACACTTTTCGAAATGACTGCGATCGTTCTCAACCTTGGTCCACCAACTTGAGTGTAATGTTTTTCTGACATACTCACTTGCCTGGTCCTGCACTTGCTCCGCGATACTTGCTTCTCGATGCTTGCATGTGTGCTAGGCTGGTCAATATCATAATGTAATTCAAATCAGCTGCAGAAATATTAATTCTGATGTACTTTCCCAAAGCCACAGACGCCTGTGCTTCTTCCACCCAACTCCGTTGTTACCACAGAACGCACGCTTTGTCGCGTACGACCATCAACCTCCAGCGAGGTAGTCGTGAGGAAGAGTAGTTGTGGTGCAGCGGTTTTGTTTACAAGCAATCAGGTGAGTACATGACTCAAAACTACTCGATCAATAACGTACAAATAAATGTTGCGATATAGCACGTTCAGACATCTTCCCAGCTCATCGAGTTGGAGGGGCAGGAACGCTCAAGAAAGGCTCCGAAGAGGTCTGAATAGTAGCCGGTTTAGCTTTGTTTCAACACAGCTCCTCTGTTGATTCGGAACGAGCCCCCATCAATCATTCGAAAGTTTAAAGATACAGCACTCCCTACTCACACTCCTTACCCCATGAATGGCTGCAGATACCCAGTCATCGTCGCCCTTCTCGCGTCTCCCACGTCTTGGCTTCAACTTTGGCTTTAAGTCAGGTCCTTCGTCCCCGCTACGCGAAACATACACCTCACCACGCAAGTCCGAGAAGGCAAAGGAGCAGGAGAAGGACGAGGACTGGTACATCCCGTACAATGGGCCCATAGAATCACCGAGACCTCGGGCAGAGTCGAACCAAGACAGAGAGAGCTGGGGCGACCTGTTGAACGGATGGCTAACGGAGGATCCCAGCGGGTCACCGCAGAACGGACGGAGTACTAGCAGGACGAGGGCATTATCGACGGTGACTCATCTCACCTCTTCTTCAGGCAACATTGACCCCAGCCGGAAGAGTGTTCGCATGTCAAGCAGACCGCGTGTCGCTGTACCATCCTTCATCAACCTCGACCAAGCTGGCGGAATCGGTGATGTGCCTATGCCCGCGGAACGATCGTCCAAGTACGAATCGACCATTGCGACATCTCCGCAGACGGCGGGGACGTCTGGGACCAATGCCAATCGAAGTAGTCTTGCGAGTATATGGTCGTTTGGCAAGCGAGGATTGCGTCACTCGGCCTCTCTTGACCAGCTCTCTCGATCGCGAAGTAGTGCTTCTGGAACACGAGAACGTGCGAACACATCTGCCTACGCCGTTCCAGCGATGCCAACAGCATCTCCAGTCCCCATGTCATCCCAACGTGGGAATGATGATGCGACGAACTCAAGACCTGCTCCTATAGCGGAAGATAACGAGTACTACTATTCGTCTCTACTTGTACACCAATCCATTTCCGGACACCCCCAACCCCGACAGGAAGACCTGAGCTCTCATCCGTACGCCGTTGCCTTCCCCACCAGCCCCCAGTCACAGAGTGCCCCGCCGCCGTCTTATAAAGGCAAATCGAAAGCACTTAACCCCGGGAAGCTCACCATCACCTGGTTAGACCCGCGCCAGAAGAGTATCCCAGGGTATCTGAAACCGTCGCCGCGAAACTCTATTCTCAAGGCAAGTCTATCCACGCCCAACCTGCGCGACTTACCTAAGGGCAAGCAACGATGGTTATCGGCGGAGACGTGGTGTGATGCCATTATCCTGCCACGACCACGCTTTGCATTGCGACTTGCCGAAGGTCAACCAAGTGGTCGAATCGTCAGCCCACCTGGCTCGCCCGTATCCTCACCGGAAGAAAGTCAGGGACAGGACTCGCGGAACAGGTTCGCCAAGGATTCGTCCTCTACCCCCTTACTCAAACAGTCTGTGTCTCTGAACAACCTTGTCTCTCCTACACTTGCATCTACCGCGCCACCATCACGAGCACTCGAAAAGGCTACACCCGCCTCTGCAGGCCCTGTTATCAATGAAACCGCGAAAACTCTGAAGCCTCCGAGACCTAAAAGCTGGGCCCTTGATGATCTTGCACTGCCCAGTCCCGTTCCCTCTTTGGCACAGTACGTTCTACGTTCCGATCTACCGATTAATATTGATTATTGGATCTTGTTATCTTTTCATTTACTTCATTGATCTAGAGTCCTTGCGGAAGGCGAACAACTAGACAAGGAACGGGAAATGTGGAGAGCGAAGGCCACCCATTCATTCCAGAACAAACGTGCACGGACATTTTCTCGGGCTCGATCAAAGTCTATTGGGGCCTCGCAGGCGAGGCGGAATGCTAGAGAGGCCGGAGAAATAACCAGAGAAACAACCAGTCCTCTGGAGTATCTGGCAGAACGGACGTTGCTCGGGGCACAGACCGTACCTCCGAAAATTCATATTCATGCACCACCAGTTCCGAAGAGTCCGCACACAACATCAGCATCGCGGACTGCGATATCTTCCGTGTTCTCCACTCATTCGCAAAACCTTTCGAGGGTGACATCGAGAACAAAGTCCCATGGGCATTCAAATTCCCTGGGGGGCTCGGTTACCAAGTCCCAGACTGATCATTCAAGCAGCGGCCACAGTAATGGGCATGTCAGAAGTCAGTCGTTGGGTAAATCGGCCTTCAGAATGGTCAAGAATACCGCAACTAATGCTGCCGTACTCTGTGGGTTGAACGAGAAATCGCCGATGTTGTCACC